TGAAATTTTGTATAACCTAACATTACAGTAATTAGTTGATTATATCTAAAAAATTTAATATAACAAACAACCATAGCGATGTCTTTAAAGACCGTACCACAAGACGACGATCAAAATAACAGTAAAATTTACGAAAAATACTTTGATATCGATGCATGCTTATGTGATGACACTCCATTTCCAATGGATAACAAATTAAAAAATCTTCAAGATCTACAAAAAAAGATTAAAGCTAGAACGGAAATTAATTTGCTGAATAAATGTGGAGATCAAACTCTAGGAGGAGATGTTTTAAATCTTGCAGCTGAATGTAATCATTCAGATGTTGTTAAATTTCTTTTACAAAATATTAGCACAGAACAATCAAAGCTCGAATCTAAAAGTGAGCAATATAAATAATATCAAGCATTAAAACGCGAAGCACATGATAACGCTATTGAAGCAAACAAAGACAGAGGGATGGCAAAGTTCAGTTATTTGCGGAGTACGAGAAAGCATCTAATACTCAAGAAAGTAAAAAAGCTTAGCGCTCTAAATCTTCAAGAAAGTAATGAAGCTCAAGAAAAAGTAAAATCTCGGAAGAATGGTAGCAAAGATTTTATACTTCACTAGCTTCTGTAAACTAAAATTTGGAGAAACGAGAAGAAAGTAGTAGTTTACCCGTTAATAAATAAGGAGAAACTTAAATGAAATATTACATACAAGAAGCAAAAATGTAGTTTTCCTTTAATCCAGTATTAATTTTTCTATTTTACATTCATTTTATTCCTTGCTGCCATTTGTTTTCTTCCTTCTTGAAATGCCTTGTTCATACCCCGTATTGGCTCTTCAGGCGCTAATTATCTTCGATGCGTCTTATAACAAAGCTATTCATAACATGCACTCCATTCCGGAGTCTACTACACAAGGTAAATTATACTACCCATAAGACATGTAAGGTATTTGGAACGTTGCATCAACTTTTGGTAATTTATCTAAATACACCATGTTTTTAAAATTAGATGCTTCATCTTTTATTGTCTTGTGAAAGTAGGTTAATATTGCCTCAAAATTTTTGAAAACAAAAACTTTTAAAACTTCTAATTCACAACTTAATCTATCTTGTTCTGGCATTGAAGAGGATAAATCTCTAAAATAATTGAGAATATTCTTCTCGTGCATGTTTTTCTTTTGCGTTCCTACAAACACGTTAAATCGATAGTGTCGCAATTCATGATTGTACATATACTTAACAAATCAACCATTTTATGTCGCCATAACGTGATTCTAAAGCCTCAACTCGTTCTGGCGCATTGATTGCTAATCTACATGATTATTGATCAGTAGTGTATTTACTATTCAATATTATTACTATTGGGAAATTTTGATCATTGCCTACCGATTTTACCATATTCTTACCAAAGAAAGAAGCATCAAATATATAAACCAGCTAAATTGTAGGTTACAAAATGCTTGTATGGCGCTACTGCAAGCTAAATTAGCTGTAACTTTAGAAAAATAACCTGTATGTTCTTTCATGGATTAACAATGATATAGCATGTTATAGAAGGATGCAAAAACGCCACGTAACTACTTGTTTTGTACTATTTTTCATAGCTTGTGCATTATTTCTGATGCGTCCCATGATTTTTCTACACTTAATATCAGTTGTTACTGCATATTTATTTAATCCACTGGTAATTAAACTTAAAGAATATAAAATACCACGTTTATATTCCGTTATTTTAATAACACTTGTTTTGCTGATAGTCTTTATACTAACTATCACACTTACCGTTCCCATAATATATATACAAATCACAACAATATTGAATTTTTTAGTAAACAAAATATCTTCACTAAAACCCAAGATAATCCGGCCTTTATTATATTTTTTAAATATAAAGATAGATAAGAACTTATTTGATTATTTATCTAAAAATTTGACAGAAAATCATGGTGATTACTTAGCTTATTTTTTAGATGCCTTAAAAATTATAAGTAGTCTTATGATTCAAGTGTTAAGCTCAAGCTTTAATTTAGTTTACATTATATCATAATGGTAATTACTCCTGTAATATTTTTCCACGTATTGCGTGACTTGCCTTTGGTTGTAGAAAAAGCTAACAATCTTATTCCTGTTCCACATAGGGAAAAAGTTGCAGATTACTTTTCAAGGGTATATTGCATCATCTCCAATTACCCTAGAGGGCAGATTAATATATGCATTATTATGATTACATTCTGCTCTATAGGTCTAAGTATTTTAGGGTTAAATCACCCTATTATTATAGGAATTTTATCGGGAGTATTAACATTTATACCTTACATAGGAAGGTTGAGA